CACAACTGGTGCAAACACTTCTTGGTAATCAATACCAACTCTCTGAGTAAATCCTCTGGCAACCAACCTTGCCTTGTATCTTTCAGGCTCCACTCCTGGGATTCCAGGCTTCTTCTTGAACAACCATCTACAACTGATCACCTTTTGATCTTTAGGGCGATCTACAATAGTCCAAGTACCATTTTTCAACAAAGAATTCATTTCTTCTGTCATGCCTGCATCCCATGCTTCCCAATGCTTGTCTTCTTTAGCTTCATGGTAGCAACTAGGTTCTTCACTTTCTAATTCCTCAGCAGCCATTAGAGCAAAAGCAAACTGAGAGTAATCTGAGAACTTTACTGGAGCCTTGATTTCTCTTCTAACTCTATCCCGAGCTAACTGATAGTTTGATAATCTTTCAGTAGCTTCAGGTAAGTCACCTTCAGGTTCATAATACTCAGAATCAGAATCACTAGAGACAATCTCAACTGCTCCACCTGCATTGGAACTTTCTCCAACCTCTTTACTAGACTTTTCAAGCTCAACTATAAACTTCTCCTTCTGGCTTGCAACTTCAGGTTTGTCATTCTGATCTTTAGACTTTAAGTCCTTATAAACCATTTCTTCATGAAATATAACATTTCTGCTGATCACACACTTCAACTCATCAAGTAACCAGACCTTATACCCTTTAGTGCCATGCGGATAACCCAGAAACACACCTTTCAAAGCTCTTGGCTGTAACTTCCCCTGGTCTTGATGTACATAAGCTATTGAACCAAATCTTCTAAGATGCTTGTATCCTGGCTTTCTGTTCAACCACAATTCCTCAGGTACATTATGATCTATAGCTGATGCAGGTGATCTATTAACAATATATGCAGCAGTAGCTGCAGCTTCAGCCCAGAAATGTTCTTCTAAACCAGATTCATCCAACAAACACCTAAATTTTTCATAAGTGTCATATTCATTCTTTCTGCAACACCATTCTGTTGTGGTGTATAAGTGCAAGTTCTATGCCTTTCTATACCATGCTTCTTACAGAACTCATCAAACCTAGAGTTACAAACTCTAATCCATTATCAGTCCTGAGAATCTTGACTTTCTTATCAATCTGTTTTTCAACTAACTCTTTCCATTCACAGAACTTATCAAATGTCTCATCTTTTGTTCTGAGAAACATGAGCCAGACCTTCCTAGTTTTATCATCAATGATGGATAGGAAGTACTGCTTACCTGAGAGTGATGGAGTTACATTTGGTGAACCCCATAGGTCTGCATGAACATATCCGAGTGCATCTTCTGCGTTGTGCTTCCCAACATTAAAGCTTAGCTTCTTTGACTTTCCCATAACACAATTCTCACAGAATGGCAGCTCCTTGATCTCATTCTTTTGCAATAACCCTTTACCAGACAAGATCTTCAAACTGTTAAGACTCA